GAAGTCTGTACACACACATTGGAAGTCTGTACACACACATTGAAAGTCTGTACACACACATTGAAAGTCTGTACACACACATTGGAAGTCTGAACACACACATTGGAAGTCTGAACACACACATTGAAAGATTGACAATAAAGTTGGCTTTTGACGACAGCATTTCTCTGCAGAACCACCGGCTTTCAGGGTAGACAAGTGTAAACAAATATCCTTTTTATAGTTTTTATTTATCGGTCACCTGCAAGAAGACCTGAGAAAGTGGATCTTGCATAATAGGGGACCTTTTAAATATATTCTAAACCTTTTTTAACGCAGGTCTCTGTCTCTGCTGCTGCGGGGGGTGATGTCTGGATCCGTCATGTTGCCCACCATGGACTTCATGGCCGACCCTGTGAGTAACTGGGCTTTTATGATCAAATGAACAACTACTAAGAGTCTAAACTGATGTTAAAGTGGACCTATCATGCTACATTTGAATAACATAGTGTAGGACCATACCTATAAGGCATATTTATACTTTTTATTTTTCAAAATACCAAACAGATCATGCATTTTAGCCATTCCTCATTTCGCTCAATTTAACACTGTCTTTGCATCATGGGCTGATTCAGTGAGAACAGCACCATCTACAGGCCTGGCATATGTACTACAGCATCTCCAGCGCTTTCCAACGGCAATGTCCGTGGCTGTCTCCTCCTGATTGGTGGAGTTGGCCCAATAGCTGTAGCGCCACTTCTGTGACGTCATAGAAGTGTTCAAATCTGGATCAGTCTGTATCAGATCCGTTGCAGCCCCTTTTTTAGAGATTTGGGTATGGAGGAAAAGAGAGAGGGTTGTGTTTTCTGACACTTGGTGAGTTCCCTGGAACACCGGGGACACATGTTCATGTATGAAAGACGTACAAAAGTGCATTCTGCATGATAGGTCCCCTTTAAAGCACAGGTTCATGTTTCGTCTGACAGTGTTATGAGTTAAGCACTGTATAATTCTGTCATTTATTTGGTTTATTGTACAAGAAAACCCTTTTATTCAATCGACCGTTTAAGATTGAATTAGTAACTATTAAGAGCATTAGATTATGTAAGAATATTCCTCGTGTTTATTTGTTTTTGGATGAAAATAATACGAAATAATATGAAATAACTTCATAATTATGGCCAAAACTCACTTTCCACTCTGTGTTTTAAAGGTTTTTTAATATAAAAATACTAAAATGTAATGTTTGTCTTTGTTTTCCAGGATACTGTGAACCTCATGGTGCTGATATTTGTTGATAACACTCCAGTAAGTGAACAAAACATTTCATAAATACTGATCCTCTTACGTTACAGGTAAATCAGGGAATATAAGAAAAGAACAAATAATCTGCTGTGTGGAAATGTAACCTTTTTAAACCAATTTGAGTGGCTGTTTCTTTTTTGTCCACTTCCTCGTGTATTGGTTTTGGATTCATTTGAATAAAATCTCGTTTTTGCTTCTCTTTTGTGTCTCCAGCTCGATCCGGACACCGAGCCCCCGTCTCCACTGGTTCCTTTTTTACAGAAATACGCCAACGTCAGCAACAAGAAGCATTCTGTGAGTACCTCGCTTTTTAATTTAAATAAAAATGAATAAATACTTCTTACTCTAGATAAAATAATCAAAGAGTAAACTACAGATAACCCATTCGGTAAAAGCAAGACAAAATGTATAAATACAAATTACCACAAAAAAATCAATGCAATTAAAGTCTGTCTGTCTGTCTCTCTGTCTGTCTGTCTCTCTGTCTGTCTGTCTCTCTGTCTGTCTGTCTGTCTGTCTGTCTGTCTGTCTGTCTGTCTGTCTGTCTGTCTGTCTGTCTGTCTGTCTGTCTGTCTGTCTGTCTGTCTGTCTCTCTGTCGGTCTGTCTCTCTGTCTGTCTCTCTCTCTCTCTCTCTGTCCGTCTCTCTCTGTCTCTCTCTCTGTCTCTCTCTCTCTCTGTCTGTCTGTCTGTCTGTCTAGCGTATCAAAGGTGTTGTATTTCCTGTTGTCCAGCTCTGATGACAACGATAAATAAATATATATATATA